AGATCAATTCCCGAGAACTCAGTCGACGAGAGTGTTATTTCCATCAATAGGTCTATGATAAAGTTAAACAAAAATGGAGAAAGTGGACAGCCTTGACGGACATCACTTGAGGTTGCAAAAGCAGATGACAGTTCGCCATAAGCTCTGACTCGACTAGTAGTGTTCGAGTAAAGAGCTTTCACAAGGCTTATGTACTTCTGAGGTACGCCTTTCAATGACAGACACTGCCACAGAATCTCGCGGTCTACCGAGTCAAATGCTGCTTTTATGTCAAGAAAGACCACCATTGTCAGACGTCGATAAGTATGCCTTTGTTCTAGAACCTGACGAATGGTGAATATGTGATCGATGCAGCCACGACCAGGTCTGAAGCCAGCTTGGTTCTCTCGTGTTTGCAGTTCACGAGTCTTAGTTAGGCGTCTGATAATTATCGAGGCTAGTATTTTAGATACTATATTAGTTAAACTAATCCCTCTATGGTTGTCACAGGATGATTTTAACCGTCTCTTATATATTGTGACCAGTCAGATGGAATAACGTCCAACTTCCAGATCTTAGCTAAAGTATTAGTCAACCTAATCGCTAAAATTAGACCACCATCCTTAAAAACCTCTGGAGCCAATCCATCTGGACCAGCTGCCCTTCCTCGTTGCAGATTAACTATAGCCTTTTGAACTTCTGCTAGAGTTTGGGGACCTACTTCAATGTTCCATTCACACTGTCTGGGAATGGAGGGTAGTTGTAGAGTAGCTGAAGGCCAGCTGAACTGTTCTCTAAAATGTTCCGCCCATCGTTCTAAACGTCTGGACTGAGAGCAGATGAGAGTATCATCTTTTTCCGAAATAATCTCACTTAAACTTGACTTATTAATTCCAGTTTCTTTTATTATTCTGTAGAGCTGTCTTGTGTTCCCTATAGCCGCCTTTTCCATCTCTTTCGCTTTCGTTGCCCACCACTGCTCACGGTCGTTTCTTAGACTTTTGGTTAACCTAGATCTAATTTGTTGTCGCTCTTCATCGTGTTCAGAGCGTGATGGGATGAGTTTACGAGAATCCATCAGTGCAATAGACCTAGAGGAAATCCATTGGTTCTTCGTAACCCTGTTGTTTAAATCACTGATAGATGTCACTGCTGTTTCCACAGCTGTTTGTATAGCTTTCCAAGCAACATCTGGGTCAGCCTCGTTTTCCAGTGAGGCGCAAGCAGATGCGTGCCCGTATTAGGGCATGGTCGGAGTCCAAGCAAGTGCTCCAGAATGAACGACAATCTTCTACCGACCCTCTCCAACGATGACTGATGGCAATATAGTCTATTTGAGTCCATCGTTGTTTGGTGTACGGGGTCTCTATGTTAGACGATGTCTCTCCTTATGCTTAAAATTTTTGTTTGCTAAAAATAAACGATTGTCTGAGCACACTTGCAGCAGACGGTCACCATTTGTTCGCTGTGCCGGAATGCTAAAATATCAACCTAAATGCCTTTCTGTTTGGTTTAAACTACCTATCTGGGCATTAAAGTCACCTGCTACGAGTACTATGTCTGAACGTTTAGCTTTCTGAAGAAGTTCAGATAACTTTCTGTAAAATTCATCTTTCATTTCATCTGAGCTGCAGTCAGTGGGAGCGTAGGCAGAAACGACAAAAAGGCAACGTGTGTCCCTATCCTTCCGAGTTCTTACGGAGCCGTTTAACCGAACAGCACATAAACGACTGTTAACGGGGATCCACTCTAACAGTATTTGTTCCGCCCTCATGCTTAGTGCTATGCCTACTCCTGCCAGTCCACGAGAGCTGGCCGTCGGGTCACCAGATACATGGAGGATGTATCTCATTGGCTCTCCGTTTTCCCGAGGTGAGGTCAAGTGAATGACCACACTGTTACGAGATTCTAAGGTTCTAGCGAAGGAAGCCTGTTGACCGATTTGACATAGAGTGCGTACGTTGAAGGCTCCAATGTGTAGTTTGGAGCGAGGTTTCAGTAGACCTGGGACAGTGTTTTGAGTACTAGAATCGTTGGCTATGGTGACATCTGAGGAGGAAGCCGAAAAAGGAAGTTTAGAGGTGAAAGTCGATGTAGGATGAATAATAAAAAGTGAAGACGGAGGTTGAATATGAATACAGTGGTCTTGAGTGCTGTTAGAGGTATGAGGGCGGTTATCACTTCCCGGTTGCCCACACCGTGGAAGAGTTTCTCTGGAGGTACATGAAAAGGAAATTGGATTAGAGGTGGTCTTAGTGACCTGGGAGCGTGACCGCAGTGCCCAAGGGACAACTGCTTGAGGTCGGTCACACGACATTTTTATGGGTAATTTTTGTGTTAGCTCCGTACTTTTTGGGATCTTGCCGCCGGAGACGGATATCCGTGGGATACGGCGAGGTGTAGGAAGGCAGCATCGCTGTCATGCTGGTTGTCTGAAGGAAACACCTTACTGCTGTCACACCTCTGTACAGTCAGCAGTACGACTTCGCCTTCGGACCTTAGGTTTGTTGCTTTTAGTCTTACCGCTCTTCAACCGACCTGTCTGACATAGTAGAACCTTGAGGAACGGTTGTTCCAGCCAGTATAGCTCGGTTGCTTCATCACGATAGGCAAGCCCGACCACCACGTCAAGGTAGCAACAACGTTCGGGTAGTTCGGCTTACTCAAGACTAATGATTTTACGGCGTTTTGCTTCTGCAACATCTCAGGAGAGGCTCAAGATTACTTTCAGTAAACTATTCTTCACTACTAACGCATCTTCCATTTGATTTTGTCTTAAGGAGTATTGTCACAACTTGGTTAGCATAAATAAACATCCCCTCATTTATCTAATGTTGTTAGTTTATGCATAGTCCTCATTGCTACAAATTGCTTAGGTCACAAATATTTTACTTGATGTGTAGGTATATTTTCCGTGTGAAAAATCCAAAGCTTTATTATGACTGCTAAGGTCTGATCTCAGCCTTATCTCATACTCCCAATATAATAGTAATTAATTTGACTTAAAAGATAATGGATGCTCGTAGTTCAGGAGCAAGACTTCGAATTGTTCTATAAGCACAGCTTTGGACTTGCATGTTGATGATGATATCTAGGAAGACGAAAACTACAATTTAACCATCCAGTTTCAGAAACAACATTACTAGTCAGTAAATTCACGACCAACCTTCTTTCTGTAAAATCTAGTTCTGTTTCAGCTACCGTTGAACGTTCGGTTAGGCAGTGAATTTATGTTGGGCACATACTGTTTTCAACCCTCAGCAGTGTTAAGCCTTGTCACCTCACGCTTTGATGGTTAAAAACTCAGTGCTTTTGTCGTTAAGTTTGCGTACTTTTAAGCGGTTGAAAATAGATAGAAAACATCCTAACTCAATCGGTCAATGTTCTGAGCGTCATCAACTTACATCATTCCTGTCCAGTACTTAATGTATGGTCTAAACATTACCCACTGCTTCATGATATTCGATCGATTTTCGAAGTGTTTTGATTCAGTTTATTAAATAGTGATGAAAATTCCAAGTACCTATCAGCTTTTAAATTCTAGAATGCCCCATGATCAGAGAAGTTCTTAATGCGTGATACTCTAGGAAATAAAGTTTCGGACCTATAAAATCACTACTATTACGTTACTGATGTTCAACAGTTAGAGATAGTGACAGCTCATAAATCATTTGCAATGGTGCAGGTCGATTGATTTTTTGTCTTCCGTTAGATCATAAGTTTCCTAATTATATTAGTCTTTAATTCTCTTTTATACTTAGTCATTTCTATTAACACTAATATTCTTACTACTGTGACGTAACAACTTGAACCAATGTACATGTGTTCAAGATTCCACGTTGCGAATTACTGCGTTTTTCGTAATAGACATCTGACTACACTATTATATGCAGTGTGTACCAAATAAAGGCAGTATTCCTGGAATTTCTAGCCAACGTTAAGTATCTTCACGCTAAAGACAAGTGCTTTTGTAGTCATAAAAAGTAAATTTACAGATACTTTGAGTGTCTGTGTCACCACAACCGAAACGAAGTTGTCCCGGCTACAGTACAATATAGGAATAGTAACTGTAACATACTCCGCTTAAATACATGTTTCAGACCGGTACTCACATTTTTTGACAACTATGTTCCCCTCGGACATAATGTGAATATTTCGTTAGAAATCTTTTTAAGTCAGTGGGAACCTGATCTTACAAAATAAGCGTTTGAATGTTCGTTTTCTGGATCATTATTCGAGTGGGTCTTAAGTGCGTTCCGTTGATGTAATTATAATCTAAGCATCACACAACCTGACGGAGAAGTCGAATTCATACTTTTCGTGTCCTAGTGCGTGATGATGATCGTAATCAGTAGATGGAGGCCTTGGGCCAAATCTAACCAGTGACTTAGTTACTTTTATTTTTTTACCTCCCTTTCGACCTTAAGCTCCAGCCCTTCACTTTTCGAACCACATTTTCTTTCATTATCAAGTCTCCTGTTTTGAATATATTTGTCAAACCATCATTAGGGATTATTCGTAACTAATATTTGAGCTATTTATTCTTTATAGGCAAGGGCTTAGGTAAGAATCGCCAAGGACCAACTGACAAGCCTCATCGCAGACATGAAAATGGACGTGATCCCAGTCATGATCGCAGTTTCGGTCGACCTATCTCAAGTGCACATGTTCGTGATCGCGACAAAGAATACAGACGAAGGCGCAGTCGATCTCGGAGTAAATCAAAAGAACGTGATCGACGCGGTCGTAGCCGTGAGTTTAATGTTTTTGAACGTTAACTGATTTTAACCACATACACGTACACAATGCTAAATTATGCCTAACTTTTTTAGGGAGTCGAGACCGACATCGAAAACGCCGGAGTCCAGACGAGCGGGATCGTGATCATAAGCGTCGTGACCGCCGTCGAGATGATATGATTCGGCAGTATGGAGAGTATGGTGCTGAAATTAGGGCGGAATACAATGGAGATGCATAAATCGCCTTTTCAAGTCATCCTGTATTAATACAAAATTCACTTGTGTGCAAAAAATTATATATTTTAAGAAAGCTGTACATTAAAAATGAATGTCAATAAACTTGTTGAAAATATTAATTACTAAGATTTTTGAAGCGCAGCATTTAACGGTCCATCTTTGGTGCCTTTGAATAGCAACATGCAAGTATCACGCCGAAGAACTAAAATCAAGTATTGTGCAGGTCAAAATATAACTTACCTCCACAAAAACAAGAGCGAGCACTACCACGCATATTATGTAATACTGTTCACGTAGGTTAAGAAGTATCGACTCCATACATCCCTGGAAAAAAAGCGGTTATGACTGTACCAATTAATAGTAGCGTTATTCTATCGTCTCGAGCAGTATTTTGTGATCTAAAGGCAAAGTGTGAGCCAAGACTACATTAGAATTTGAGTCTGCATACAAGGGATTTGTTTGTATGTCCATTATTTTCGGGGGCCAGATATTTGTTTTGGGGTTATTTGCTGACTTTGAATATCCCATATCACCCAACGTCTCTAAGCACTAGTCGTGCGGACGTTGACTCCATTAATTAACTACGTTTTCGCTTGCCCATCCCTAATTTCCTCCCAACTTTTTATGACAACAGTTACCCTAGCGCGTCGAGGTGTGTTACTCAGGCACAGCCAACACTTCACTACCTCGCCCAGAAAATGTCTAGAACCCAAACCGTAACGTCCTACCAAACGCGAACAACGCTTCGAAAACACTTTGGGTCAGATACTGAGAGACTAAGAATATATTCAACTTTAATGGACTGTATTTCACACCCACAGGATAACAACTAGTAGGTTCTTGTGCAATATGTTTGTCTTTTCGTTGGCGAACGTTACAGGTGGCCAATTGGCGAAAGCTAAGCGGGCTTTCGGAATCTATGTCGAGTTCTCGTTAGGATCGCTTAAGAACGTAAGTGGTGGTCGACGCGTTCACTCCTTGTGACCACACAAACTATTGGCTCATCCAAAACCCGAAGCAGCATTCTTTATTTGGAAAGGGAGAAACATCTTAAAGAAACCTGCATTGTTACTCAAGGTGTTTACAAGACTGCATTTCGTCAAGGTCTTCACTAAGAAGAACAATGTCATCTGGGTATTCAGTAAGCAAATCTTCTGGTAGATCATGAAACCAGGTGAGGACGTCACCACTAGGATTTTTATGACAAAATGAAACGAAAATGGAGAGTGAGCAACACCGCTGCCAGTTGGTATGACGACCTACCATAACCTCTGAGCATTAAAAAATTTGCGTCTAAAACTTGAGCTCCGGTATTCCTTTATACATCTTATTTCTTGTTTCGATACTCATTATTTTAATTTCATCACGTTGTACTAGTATCGTATGGGGACTTAGGCTAACGCACATATGTGAACGACTTATACGGTTTACGTACTTTTTCGGTACATCATTCAGTGGAAAACTTACCGCAGAACATTCCGATCGACTCAGTCGGATAGCGTCTTTCGAATAAAGAATACGGTCATGATAGGGCCTCAGTGTAACTGATTTCTAAAACTTGGCGAAGTGTAAACATTTGGTCAATAAACAAAGCTAGGTGTAAAATCGGCTGCTTCCGAGTTCCAATTAGGCATCAAACGACTATGTAGAACTACGTCTTAAACGCGAGTATTCGCTAAGCTGGTTGTCGGATGATCTTAGCTCTTTCGTATAAACTAGGGTGATCAGCGATCGAGATAAGCCAGATGAAATTAAGCCTAGTTGTCTGAGTCTAGCTAATATTCTAGTCAACTTAGACGGTAAGACTGGACCACCACCAACAAACACAGTCTAACCCATTTAATCATACTGCTCTCCCTACCTTAGTTATATGTGACCCTTTCAACCTTGCTAAAAGTCGTGAGACCTGTGACGATTTTCTATCCAAATTGTTTGGAAGCAGGGAGTAAGTGAGACCCTGCTGAGCCGTTCTCAAGTGTTTTATCCATCGTTCTAAACGTCTGAGCTGCGGATAGAGCGCTATTTCATCTTTTACAGAGACAGCTTAACTAACAACTGACTTTCGAATACCTGGTGTTTTGATAAATCTGAGTAGTTGTTTAGTGTTATACAGCGCTTTTCCTATCTATTTTGCTTTCGTTGTCCACAGCTACTCACAATCGTTAGACACTTTATCAGTCTAAGTTACTGTCGCTCTTTGTTGTTTGGGGCATGACAAGACTAGTTTCCGAACATTTTTCAATTCGGTAGATTTAGTAATCACGATATTTGTAAGTAGGTGGTAGTTGCACCTTGAAACAATAAATGTCTCATGACAATCACACTAACGTTGTATAGGCTTTCCACACGAACACTACTGGTAGAGTCAGGACTTATGGGAAATTGTCATCAGGATTGGTTACTTCAAGTGGTGTTTGCCAGGGCTGCCCGCTTTTTTCCATTTTTATTTAGCTCTATTATAGACACAGATTTAGAGATAACACTTTTATCCTCTAACTTTTCAGTAGTTGGTCCTTTACCAGGAGATACAGTGGTCAGCTCAAAATACACAGATGACATAGTTCTGTTTGGTGAGGACGCTAACAAAATGCAGTCCTCTGACCACCTAAAGCAACAATGTAAACATACTCAGGAAGCAGCCCTCTTCCTCCAAATGTAAAATTTTACTTCAAAACTGGCTCGAGTCATCGCCTGAATTAATGATAATCAGTGAAGTAACTGAAGGCATTGACCACCTCACTTATCTTTGGATTATCACCAGTCTTGATGACCTGGTGTCTGATGAAGTCTCGGCACGGATTCATAAAGCTCCATTGGCTTTTGCCAGACTTGTGTTACTTGTGACGTCTTCCAATCAAACGGCGAGTTTGCTGCGAAACAGTTCGCTCCGTTCTACTTTGTGGATGAGAAACAAGGCCATTAAGAGTAAAAGATATTCGCAGGTTACTGACATTAGATCATAGGTGTCTTCGAAGTATTGCTCATATATTTTGGGACTACAGAGTAAGGAATCCCTAGGTTAGGAATAGAGTACTAGGTAAAGATGGGAAATCGATCAAGTGAGTTTGTTGGGGCATGTGTTACTTATGCCCAACCACTGTTTACCTCGACTGCCGATGTAGTCTGGTGCAGCAGTAGATTGGAAGAAGGCTAGGAGCGGGCAAGCTAAAATGTGGCCTTAGTCCATGAAGTCATTGAAAATTAGACAGGGCCATATTGACAGATGTAGACCATCTGGCTGGGGTCCGCACGACTGTCGTAACCAGTAGTCACAGACTTTGAATGGCGGCTCAAAATTACTTACAATAGTGCAGATACATCTGTTATTCATTTTACCATAATTATCAGATTCTAGACTCTTCATAACATTTTTCGTTTTTATTTTACTAATTTATATTTTCTCGAACCGTATATTCGATGTCTAGTCTTTCGTACTACCAATGATGTTGTTACAACCTCTACTATTCTTGGATTTGGCCTGACAACTACATTAGTCTGTGTGTAATGGGGTGTGGCAACTTGAGTTGACGTACATAAGTGCCAGGTTCTACACTGTGACCGATAAAAGCGACCGATACAATATAATAATATGTAGTATCTTGAGATATGTCACTACCAAGGTTTGACTTAGTAGTTTTGAATAAACTGAGTACTGGGTAGACTGTTGACAAAGAAGTTGTGTTCATCAAGCCACGAAGAATCAGAAATCTAAATTTTTACTTTGTGGAACTTGACGAAAATGGTATTTCTACTATCCTCAAATGTATTGTCTATATATATATATATATGGCCGAGGTTGGGGAGAGTCCGCTCTCCCTCTAGAAATGCTCTCACATGGCAACGCGTATACAGCCACTGACAGGTAACTCCTATTCAATGCCTTCTCGCGACAAGGCTGTTGTTTACGGAGTTGAGAGGACGAAAAGTGAATATTCGACGCTCTAACAGGGTCGGTGGACACAGAGACTCCACCTAGGGGAGTTGGAAAATACTAATTCCAAACCGATTATGCACATGCGCTCCAGTATCCTGAAGGAACAAATGGCGTATGAACCAATCGTTGGTCACCGGCTACCATGGGACTGCATCTCCTTACGATGCTACACTGCCTTGTGGATCAGACCTTCAGGTCGAAGGCTCCGCGTGCGGCCCCCCAAGAAAACCACCTGCCTCGGTCTAGGTACCCGGGCAGTATCACAGCCCTCACACATATCAAGTGAGATTTGTGTGGCGCATATGTATTTGGTGCCCCCTTTTACCAATATCTATATGTTAAAATAAATAAATAAAATGAACTAGAAATGCTCTCACATGACCACGCGTATACAGCCACCGACAGGTAACTCCTGTTCACTGCCTTCTCGAGAAGCGGGTGTTGTTTACGAAATTGAGGGGACGAAAAGCGAATGTCCGGTACTTCAACCTATCATTGGTCACTAGCTACGATGAGAATGCATCTCTCAACGTAGTTCTATTGCCTTGTAGATTAGGGCTTTATGTCGAAGGCCCCGGGTGTGCCCCAATAAGAGAACCACCTGCTTAGGTCTGGGCACCCGGCAGTAACACAGCCCACACACACATCAAGTGACTGTGGCGCATATTTATTCAGTGGATTTTTGTACCAATATTTGTGTTCAAATATATATAACACCTACCTCATTATAAACATTCGATGGGTGCGGTAGTGTTCCACAGCTTTTAATTGATCTTACGCAACATGAATCAGGAACAACTAGTGGATAATTTGGATATGGTAATATTTCATTTCGTTTCGAATAATTTTGAAAGATGCTATCTGTCCAATCTCGGTAACTTCTTGATCCACAGCATTTGAACTTTTGTTGTATGTGGTCTACAGCAGCGTCAACACCATCAGTGTCGCGGAAGTACAGAGTTTGCATGGTAAGCATCAATCTGTCAGCAAGCCATTCAGTCAGAATATTGGAGAAACACAGAGCCAAAATACCAGTAGTGAATTGAATTAATAAGATGATGAACAATATCCAAGCAAACTATAAGTAGAATAATGCTGCAAATTCTTACTGTCAAAAGTAGAGTGGACTTTCCATTTGAAACTCCGATGAATCCAATTATGCACACGACCACCAGAAGTCCTCCAACAACGAACATTAGAAAATGACTTAAATAAGCAATTTCACCCAGCAGCACGGGAACAAAGGGCAAGCGAATAACTAGGAGGAAAACTCCCAACCCGATTAAAGCTAATGCAATCAGCTAGCCAATATAAATATTTGAAGACAAAATACCAAGATAATTGCAGTGAAGAAAATTAAAAACGTCTTGACCCAACTCGGTGTACACGAACAACATTTGGAGTCATCTTCTTGAATAACTATCTCATCATAACCCATCAAAGGTTTGCCAACTGAGGATGGCTTGGTTTTTCCACCCATGACCTTCTGTTTTAATGACCTTCTGAGAATTCAACCCAGCGCGCACACAACATAAATAGCTCGAAGGGTTTAAATGAATCTTAACCAAAGAGAGGAAGCTCTGTTAAAATTAGAGTGTGTAACAATATGTTATTTTAACGAGAGTTAATACTATCTAGAAATAATGTAATATTTTATAACCAAAATATGCGTAGCAAATCTAAAGGTGCTGACTATGAACTTCGACGGACCCACCGAATTTAACACGTAGTTTCAGATTGTATGTGGGTTGTTGCATCCAATGCAACCCAAGGTATAGAATCAAAGATCGTATATTAAGTCTAGTGTATAATGCCTCATCATATATGATCATGTACTTTTTAAAGCTTAAGATCATGGTCCACATTGAGCAGGTAATTTTTATTAGCATGTGAGTTATAATATCATGATGTTGCTTCCCAACCGTATGATTTTTGAATATACTGAGAAGATATACATTCAGTACATAGCACAGTGAGGTCAAAAATGGTGAACATGTGAACAATTGATCGATAGTGTGATGTCTCAGCGACGCAAGCGAGTTCGTGATGTATAAATTAAACATATTCACATAAAATATATTTACCTAAAGATGGCACAAGTATTAGGAGTTTGACAACGCCTTAACTAGTAATATCTTTTATAAATGAGATGTGCTAACCCAGTTAAATCGAAAGCTATAAGCGAAGAGGTTCGAAGGTATATTTGAAAGAATATTGATATGTCGAGAAGTGATCAATCCAAGCTGATTAGCGGTTGTAGGAGATGCGAAGTACGGTGTACCCACTAGTGATCTGGTGTGAACGAGTGATAGGGCGCCTCCAGTTAGGTGAGTCTTTTAAAACAAATGCAGACAGCACTAGATGTCGAATACTTACAGAGGTATTGATTATGTAGATTTATTTACCTCTACAGATCACTCCCCCCTATCGGAGTAGTGATAACCCTAAGACGTGGCCAGCCAGAATTTTAAACCCAACGAGATTGTTGTTGGTAAACACTCTTCTGATAGCTTGTTATATTCATCAGCACCTAGTCGTCTTTACTTACTATAAGGGGCCATAAGCTACAATGTAGTAATGGAAAACAGGTACAATGGAAAGTTCAATTCATCATAATCCTTGTCGTTTTTTTAATCTTTTTCAGCTGTCCTGAAAAAGGAAATGAGGATATGTGAGTGCATGTCGAACTACACTCATATATACGCAGAAACGTAAAGCGGGCGAAAAATAATCTTATATACATGTGCTTCATAAGCATACAAAAGGGTGAAAACGATTTTCGTAGAATTTATTTTTGTTTTTTCAGAAAAAAATATACAAGCAAGCATATTAACGACGGAAAATCGTTTTGTATTTTCGGAATAAATATATATATATAAGCATATTAAAAATAGTTTGTTTGCGTTTTCTCTGGACATAATAATACAAAATACATCAAGAGGAAAAAAAGCTATGTAGTGTCTCACGTGTAGTAATCGTTTAGGTTATGTGACAACCTTACTCTTCTTCCAGAACGCATTGTTCTGAGTCGGTTATCAGATAGCACCGAAGCGTCATCGTGACTGTTGATAATTGGGTGAGATGTCGTAATTGTGAAATTCGCGTCTTTCGATTTGGCCATAGGAAAATCGACATGAATAGGGTTGTAGTGGCATTGGACAATAGTCACACAATCCACAAAGCTGTGAACATGAGACTACTCAGAAAATAGATATTCAATATTTAACGCGGAGAAATACTTAACAATGAAGAAGGCGCGAACAATGAATTGAATTGACTGGAGTTGATCAAGTGGAATTGCTCGGCCATGCAGGCGTGGTCTCTGCCGAATGTTTCCTTATATCTTCTATTCATATTAAATATATTGTTCTTTCTCTAGCCTAACCTTGTTCTACATCATGTATTGGTAATTGATACGATACAGTGAGTTGGTGTAGTCGATGGTGTGACTTCCACGTAAGATTTTATAGATTAGGCAGTTATGTCATGACAAACCTACAAATTTAGGATTAGGTCTATTATTAGAGCAGTACTAATATCATAGTAGACCGTAGTTCTACAGGGTCTCCTTGTAAATACGCGGCTTTGAGGCGATGTAAGCTGACGCTATCGTTAATTCTGTTCTTATCGATAACATAATACATAGGTTCACGATGAAGAACTTCGAATTGTCCCTCGTATGATGTTTAGAGAGGTCGCCAAAGTGAGTCGTGACGTACAAAGACGTGTATGCTATATCGTAGACCAGGTTAAACGAAAACACCAGTTGGTTGCGGTCGAGTAGAAGCAAGTTTGGCTGAACGCATTGCTTTTGTAAGCCTGTTCGTGTCGGAGTTTATATTCATATTCATTGGAGAAAGACGAAAGATCCACGGATTCTCCTGAAAGTCGAAGTGCTGTTCCATAAACGAGTTGAGTTGCAGTGTATCCAATATCAGCTTTCGCTGCATTATGGTAACCGGGTAACACGAATGGAAGAGCGTTGGTTCTCTGTGAAACGTTCGCAGCTGTCAGTGAAAACGTTCTATTAACCCGATTACTTGTGGATGGTAAGCAGTCGTTCGGAACAATGTAAGTCCCAGTAGTGTAGTAAGACAACAGAAAAGTTCGGACTGAAACTGGACGCCATGGTCTGTTGAAGAGCAATCACAGTTTGCTACCCATCGTCCGACGAATACACAAACAACCGTTTCAGTAGTAATTTCTTTGACAGTTACTGCTTCTGGCCATCACGTGAAAAGGTCTGCACACGTATAGGAATAAGGGTGTCTAGTTAAATCTGGTAAGAATTCCGCTCATTCAGGATAAACATGGTCAAAACGAGTGTCGTTAGTTTTGAATGAACTTAAGAGATATTTCTTGTATCAACTCACCCTAGATTTCCTACACAGGAGTGCTCACACCACCTCATATGTTTATCCATATATCTCCAGCAAAATTGTCTTGCTATGAGCTTGATGGTTGCTCAAACACCTGGATAAGAAAGGTTAAAGACATTACATAGATAATGTTTCTGCTCAATTGGACAACCATGCCCTGTAGATGTGTCTTACAATTAACTGTTCTCACCTGTTCACATCTATTCGATCTGCAGTTTTAGGGTTGTCGAAGACAACTCGTCCAAAGGATCTGAAACTAAGTGACTTTAAGAAGTTTGATTCTTTGGAATCTGTCAAAGGGAGCTGTACGAGACAAGGTATCTGAAACTACATTGTTTGCTCCAGAAGTGTGTCGCATGTCTTAAGCAAACTGCGGAATATAGTCCAGTTGTCGAGACTTGAGGTAAGCTCTTGTCTGAAAGTGAGCTTAGGGATAAGGCAAGAGGTTTGTGGTTAGTGTAAAGAGTGAATTCTCGGCCTTCAACGGAACGTTGAACGTGCCGTACAGCACAACACATAGCTAAGTGTTCCCTACCGAATTTGCTATACCTCAATTCTGTGTCTAGCAACCGTCTCGAGGTAAACACAAAGGTTGCCACGTGTGGTTAACTCATTGTTGTAAGACTCCTTCGACTGACGAGTGGGGTGCATCTGTAGTGGTATTAGACCATAACCACACTATCCTCAAAGCTGGACACGAGACAACTCGTGAAATAGATATTCACTATTTAACGCTGAGAAATATCTAATGATTGAAAAGGCGAGAAGAAACGAATTGAATGGACTGAGTTGATCGAATGGCATGGCTCGGCCATGCAGGCGTGATCCCTCTGAATGTTACCTTATATCTTCTATTCATATTAAATATATTGTTCCTTCTCTGGCCTAACCTTGTTCTACATCATGTATTGGTGATTGATACGATACAGTGAGTTGGTGTAGTCGGTGGTGTGAATTCCACGTAAGATCTTATAGATTAGGCAGTTATATCATGACAAATCTAAAATTTTAGGATTAGGTCTATTATTAGAGCAGTACTAATATCATAGTAGACCATAATTTTACACATCCACTGCGATACTAGTGGGTGCTTTGGTGTCCTGGTGCGCAAGCAATGTTACTTCGCCAATGAGTTCCTTAACAGTGTAGAGTGTTTATTCGCAACGTCGTTCAAATTTATGGTCGGTTTAAGGTTTTATAAGAGACCAGCAATTTGATAAGAACCGTCGGTAGAGAATTACTTGGTCGTTACACATGCGGTGTTGTTTGATTGTGGTCAGTTCTGGATAGTCCAGAATGGCCACCACTTTACTTTGCAGAAGTGGGATGCTTTGAGCGTTAATAGTATATCTGAAAAAATCTAGAGAGTCAGTGGAGAATTGATATTTCCGGATGTTTACAGTAATGCCGTGTTTTCGCAGTCGTTCGAGAAATAGGTCCAGATGTTGGAGATGAGATTCTCTGTCCGTACCTGCAACCAAGCAGTCACCAACATAAGCATATACAAGGTTGGGACCTCGAAAAACGTAATCATTGAATCTCTATAAAGTTCGTGCAGCGTTTCTTAAGTTGGAAGGCATGCGCAAAAATTAGCAAAGACCGAAAGTTTTGATGATAATGGTTTTGGGAATGTCGTTAGCAGCAATGGGCATTTGGTTATATGCTTCAACCGAGTCAACCTTCGGAAAAACAGTCGTACCTTTCAAGGTAGCTGTCAAATGGTGAAGGTGAATTAACGTGTGACGATCAGAGATGGTTTTCGCATTCAGTCGCCGATAGTCAACAGCTGAACGCCAATCACTGCCACCTGTTTTAGGGACCATGCACAAGTGAGATGACCGTGTGCTGTTTAATGGTCAAATGATTCCTAAGTCCATCATACGTTCGAATTCGTCTTTGCTCAAACTCAGCTCTTCGAGAGCCAGTCGGCGAGATTTCGAGAATAAAGGTGGCTCTACAGTCGTGATGTGATGTGTAACGTCGCTGGTTAGACATGGCAATTTCGGTCACGTTTGGTGTATTTCGGGATACTTGTTGAGTATTTCCTGTTATTATGGATCCATTGTATGCCTTACTGTGATTGAGGACAAACAACATCTGGAAAAAGAAGTTAAGTAACGATGTTCGTCCTAATCACACAGTCTTCAAAGCTGAAAATGCA